TAGATTTTCATAGCATACGTAGTTTTTTTTTAAAAAAAATATACATATTTCGCTAAATTTGATATCCTGTTTGATATTTTTATTCAAAGCTTAGTATTGTTGATATTATACACGTCTATTCTATCGTTGTACTCAATTGTTCTTCAAGAACTGGTTATTATTTGAACACGTCTATACATGTGTACAATATACTACTCATGTAATAAATCGCCTATTTCTTTTTGCTTTCTCAGACGCACAAACTGATATTTTTCTAAAGTTTTCTTTATTAGTACTGAACAAACAAAAAGACGCATTGTTCCTTTTTTTTTTTTTCTTTACATCTACAACTACTATAAATTATGCGAATATGATTTCAAATACAAATGATTAAATGCTAATGCTACACGACTTTTTACAAAATCATAATTTATGTACACGTATTAATAATTAGTTGGCGAAAGTGCGTAATCTAGAATCTAAAAGCGCATTGACACCTTCAGATTTAGGAAGATTGTTTAATTTTGCGGCACCCTCTTATTACCAACGCGACTATTTGTGGCCTCGACGCGACGCTTTTTCCGTTGGGCCAATGGCACCAACTCACTATCACTGCCATCTTCCAATTCGTGTTTTTTAGGTACAGGCGTGACGGTAACATCAGGTTGAGGTGTTTTGACTTTTCCTGTTTTGACAGTTACCTTCTTCTTTTTATTTTCTATGGCCGCTTTTTTTGCGGCTTCCGCTTTCTTTGCCTCCTTGGCCTCTTGTGCAAGCTTTTTCTGGTGTTCTGCTTCCGCTTTTCGGGCTTCTTTAGCTTCCGCATCTGCCTTCTTTTGCGCCTCCTTTTCTAAAGCCTTCAATCGCCTTGCAGCCTCTTTCTCAGCTTGTTTTTTCGCACGTTCTTCGGCCTTTAGACGTTTCGCACGTTCCTTCTCTTCGGCCATTTGAGCGTCTCTTTCCTTTTTCTTCTTTTTCTCTGCAAGTGCAGCAGCCATTAATTGAAGCTTAGGCTGCCTCTTAGGTTGTGGCGGAATCTTGCCAGTGGGAGGCACCCTTGGCCGTTGTTGATTGCGTTGTTTGGCCGGAAGGAAGTCATCCTAGTATGACCATGTGATACAGTTGCGTAAAATGGAAACGGTATCACGCATAATAATTTTAAAAATACCAAGCTGCAATCAATACCTCGATCAATTTTCCATTAGATTCTTCCATCTTGTTACGGAAGAAATCTCGAAGTAGGCCAATCTGACAGTCTGGGTCATTGACCTGACTCCAAGGTGGTGGTGGAGCGTAACGAGATCCTGGAAAAGAGATTTATTCATGTGAATATATCATTGACTTTAAATAAACACGATCAAACAAATTAGTACGTCTATTTACGTTGGTGTCCTTGCTCGGATACTTTTTTGAGTTGAGGCTTCGGTTTGCTCGTTCCAAAAAATAACTTGTGGGGCACCTGAGAATAGACTAAATGTTTTAAAAAAAAATCTTGAAGACAATGTAGATTTAACAATTGCGCTTAAACTGACCACCAAAGAACCCAAACCCAAATCTCTGAATCCGAAGAAATCATCGCCGAGATCCTCGCCGAAATTTCCCCTACGCAGCAATTCAGAAAATTTTAATATGATGAAATTTTTGGCACGGCTTAACATGAATTTTATCATTAGCTTACATAATAAATGCATCATCGCTTTCCGGGAAAGCGTCCTCCTCAACTTCCGTGCTATCAGGATTCTTATGTACACGCATATAGATTAGGAATCACGTGTAGAGCGGCGAGATTACTATTAATAAGCATATGTATTAAGTATGCATACCACCAGAGCATCTTTGTAAGCCGTTTCGAGGCGCCCATGTATGTCCCTTAGTTTCGTTCCATATC